AGAGAGAGATATGGAGGCTAAGAGTTTTAAAAATTTGCAACCAGTTGCCGTTGAGTCGATGCTGACTCACGGTGCCTCATGATGTGCCAGAGTCATGTGTGCTCCACAGGGTTTTCAATGGCTGATGTTTTGGAAGTGGATTGTGAGGTGCTTCTGGGTGGGTGGACTTCTGGTTAACAGTCAATCATGTTTGTATCACCTGGAGACTCCTTAAGTAAATTACCCAAAATCAAACAGCTAGTTAGCAATAAAACAAAATGCAAATCCCATACAATCTGATTCCAGAGAAGTCTTTAAAATCACTATTTCTCTCTGCTTCAAAGAAGAAGGTATCAATAAAGCGAAAATCGTCATTTTCTCACAGACCACTATAAAATGAAATCTAATCTATCAGCTCTTAACTCATGTAGTTTTGGAGGACTTTTTAATACTACTACTACTACTACAACTACTATTATATCTGACACAGATGACAATGACTACCTGTGCTCAAATTTATTAACACTTAGAAGTTACTACGAATCAGGCAATGTTCTAAGAACTTTATAAAAATTAATTTCTTCAATATGTGATCAAATGTAAACTGTTTATGAAGAGGGCAAGTAGATAGATAGCTTCCACTTCTCTCTTCACCTTGTGACTTCTTGATTTGTCTACACAATCTGTCTCTGCTTCCTCTGGCCTATTCACTCTAGACATAGGCCATCTAAAAAAACACAAAGTCACCAATGACTTCAAAATATCTAAAATTTAGGGATACATTTTATTCCTTCACTCACGGCTGCATTTGATCCCCCTCCCCACCTTTTCCTTAAAATAATGTCATTGCTTTCAACATCCATTTCTCCCTACCTGTAGAGTTAACCCTTTTGTGACCAAATTATTTTGTTAGATTTAGTTGTGAGAAGGTTTTTCAATAATGGTATGCATGCTGAATAACTGAGTCATGTTAAGATTTTGTTAAGTAACAATTCTGATAAATGGTACATGGGAAACATATGTCCTCCTGGACACTCTGGAGGTAGGAATACGTAGGATGAGGCATGAAAAAAATCATGTATTCTTAGCAAATTTATTTTATTGCGTGTAACTTTCAGAAACAAAGACTAACACAAAAAATTACCCTGCAATGTTGTTGTTGTTAGGTGCCGTTAAGTCAGACCTGATTCATAGTGACCCATCCCTGGGTTTCTGAGGCAGTATCACTATGGAAGTAGATTGCCCAACCTTCCTTCTGAAGAGTGGCTGGTGGGTTTGAACTGCCAGCCTTCTGGTTAGCAGACAAGTGCCTTAGGCACTATGCTACCAGAGTTCCTACCCTGCAATAGCTGCACATAATTGTTGTTCAAGTCCCCTTCTCAGGGCTGCATCACCTTCTAGATCCCTCCACAGGTAAATGATTTCCAACTTGTCAGAGCCTGCATTTCACTTGGCACCTCACTTACTCCAGGCTTATTCTTCAAATGAATGGAGGGTATCCTACTCTTTTGATTTCTGGCCACAGTAAACAGCCTAATGAGAATGAGCCTGAAGGAAAGTGGGTGAGATCTACCTTTCCTGTTACATGGTGCTGTAAACAAAAGTTAGGATAGTGCACTTTCAAAAGCATTTTGAAGTGGGAGAAGGGAGCAGCTGGCAGATAAATGTAGAGGCATGCAAGATTTACATAAAGATATGATACTGTGTCTGAAAGTAAGTTATTCACTTGAAAACTGCATCATCATCAAAATCACAACTTCCAAATGACACATAGCAAACATACACATACTTTACAAGGCTTACCTTGCTGTCCAAAACCCAAAAAAGACAATAGTTTTAAACATTCACACCTCCAGATGCACATCTCTTTCAATACCCTCTAATCACATTTTGCACTACTGAATGTTTCTTCAATTATAAATATTATACACATCTCTTTCAGATGACAGCATATAGTATAAGTAAACACTAGCATCCCAAGATACAAGAGAGGCAAAATATCTTAAGTGTGCCATACATGTCCCACTGATCATGAAAGGGTTAGGCCAACTTTTATTCTTCACCTAGGTTACTACAGTCTCCTGACTTTACTACCTTCAATTGCGCTCTGGCCAATCCATTCTCCACACTGAAACCAAAGAGAACCTTTAAAAACAAACCTTATCTGTTTCAGTGCTCTGCTTAAGGCTCTTGGAAGACTTCTCATTCTGTAAAGCCCACACTCTTAACTTGGACCTAACCTACCTCTCAAACCTCAGTCTCTACCCTCCCACTCCATATTCCACACTCCCGTTCAAGGTGCCACATTCAATTTATTTTGCCTCAGGTCTTCATAAATGTTTGTTCTCTCAATAACACACATCCATGCTCTCTTCCCCTAGCTATATCCTACTTATCCTTCATATATCTTATACATACAAGTCACTTCTTCATTTGTTCCCCACAGCACCCTGTACTTTCTGTCAAAGTACTCATCACACTTCTATACTCACTCCCTTTTTGGTCTAGTCTTACTTGAAAGGGATTCTATCTACTTGTTTATTAGTGTGTCCCAAGTATCTATAAGTGCATGATACTGAATGAATGTGTAATTAACATTATGACAAACCTGCTATTATAAAGCTAGTACCTCTCTGAAATACAGTACAGGTTATGTAAGACATGCATATAAAGACAGCTTCCATGCAAAAAAAGTTTCTTCACAGCAGATAAAACCAAAACATTCCTATCTTAATATTCACCATTTGTTGAGTTCAAAGCATAAAGAAACAAAATAACCTATATGCCATAATTTCAATAGCTCCAGGAATTCATAGCATTTTGGGACTCTGAAACAAGAACTAGTTCAATTCTTTCCACA